CTACACTTTTTCAAGAAAAGAAAATTACAAATGCGCGCCAGATAATGCTTAAATTTAAAGGAACGTGGATAACAATTGCTCAGAATGAAATTGTTCATAAGCTAACAAAAACAGAGTTCGTTGAATAATGAGCAATCGCTCATGCGCATTGTCGGTAAACAAGAAATCACGTATTTTTGCTACAACTGTAAATAACGAGGAACGAACAAGGTGATAAATGGTGATGTCTCTTCGATAAAACAATTAAAAAAGATTAATACATGACCAATTATACGAAACTATATAGTTCTACGAAGATGAAACGTGTCTTTGATGAGAACAAACCAAAACACAGTCGAAGAAACTGTCATGTTATCAATAAACTCGCCATTTACAGCATAGTACTTGAGTGTTTAGCGAGTACATCTCTGGAAATAATATGGATTTGTTTTTACCGTACATTTTCTCAGAATTGGGCAAAGCAGTTATCTGTAAACTCGCCATAGATAACATAATACTTGATTGTTTAGCGAGTACATATCTCGAAATAATCGGGATTATATTTACCCATACCTTTTGTCTCAGAATCGGACAAATAATCTGAACTGGACATAGTCGCAAAATATTTTTAAAAAAGCTAACGATAGCCAGCAAATTCTTGAAAAGAAACTGAAACCTAGGAAGACATGTACATAATTTTCTTTTCAACTGCCACGAGAAAATCTAAACAATCTTAGACTCTAACCAAAATTGTGGGAAAGCAGCGCTTAAATTTATAGTCACAGTGAGGAGTTTAACATTAAATTCTAACAGCGAAAGCTACAATCACAAATACTATTCCATGTAAATTTATGTTTATTGGTTTGTATCCATAGTTATGAGATCAAGTTGTCACTGCCTATGTCTGACATTTAAAAACAAAACTAATAAAATCATATAACACTGAAAACGTTGTAGGTTTTACACGTGTTTGTAAAGTAATCATCACTGTCTAGATACTGCATTTATTATTTAAACGGCCATTTTAATACGACAAATAAATCACCATGAACTTTCTATGGCTGCAACATAGCGTGAACTTAGTCATGAAATTATAGATATCTTTGCACTTGATTACATTCCCTCATATATAAATTAACTGCCTACTTAATTATTTGTCAAAACTGTGGAAATATCTGTAAATGTTCAAGTCATCTGCTGAAATTGATGGTTAATGATGAAATGAAAGCCTATGAATTATATATGCGTTATGTTTTCTTATCCCCTGATAGGTTGTGGAGGCCGCACTCTTACATTCAGTATTAAGCAATTCTATTATATTAAAAATCTTTTAGCCTGATTACAACCTATTACAAAATGTAATAATGCAGGAACAAACTTGTAAAGTTAGACACACACACATGTATACATATATATATATATATATATATATATATATATATATATATATATATATATATATATATATATATATATATAGATATATATATCTTCATCAACGCAGATTCGATCCCAGGTCATCCGCGGTAGACAGCACCCATCGCCTTGCATCCACACACCAGCCTATACTCAATCAAGACTAAACAGTCATCACCAAAATGATGCAACTGATTCGGTATTATATGCAGAGACTAGCATCACGAAATAATAGTTAATTCTCATCAATCTACACATACATTCTGCATTACACAATCAATAAGAAATCAAGATTTATAGGATTAATTATAGAGAATTATAAATATACACCAGACAGAATGGGAAGTGTTATCCCTGTATTGTATAGAAGATTGCTTGATAATAGTAGGCAGAATTGTTATTTAATACAAATAATAATATCTCACATGTTAGAGATTTTAATAATTAGACTAAGAATAATAATAATAATAATAATAATAATAATAATAATAATAATAATAATAATAATAATAATAATAATAATAATAATAAGAAGAAGAAGAAGAAGAAGAAGAAGAAGAAGAAGAAGAAGAAGAAGAAGAAGAAGAAGAAGAAGAAGAAGAAGAAATGCAATTACTTGGATAAATGGTGTCGTAAAAACGTGTGCAGGTGCAGGTGCAAAAACAAGTGACGGTCTGTACCGGAAATGTCAGATTTTTTTCTATTTAGATTGACCGCCCTGAGAATTTTTGTCTGTAGTATCCAGTATTACTTCTTGTGTGTGCGGTTCGTGTCTATCTTATACTGGTTTTTTTTCAGTCGACGTCTTGTGGAGGAACTTGACGGAATGTCCATTCGAGTTGTAGTGATTGACGACTTTCTAGTTGATGTAATTATTCGTTCTTCTTCTAAAACCAACTGTTTAGCCAACATATCTTGTATGTCGGAATATACTATCTTGAATTTTGGCAATATTTCTTGTTGATTTTGTAGCTAACTCCTGTTGTCGAATTTTCTTAAAGATTCGGTTGGTAAATATCATTATAGATTGGACAAAGCACAAATCATGCTTTTGTAACGGCATGTGCTTGAATCTGTGGTCTTGTTTGAAGTTCCCGTGGCACGTATCACATGGTCTTTGAGAAATTGAATGTCTGCGATAAGCAACTATATGAAGCTTTTGAAATGTACACTTCATGCGCTTTAACATGGTGCAAATGTTTACAAATGATCTGTTGTAGGTTTGAGTCCTTGTGATGGAAAATCACTACAAAGAGGACACGCTTCTTTTAATGTTTGAGCTTTTGTTTGAGAAAGGTTAGGGTTTGGATTAGGGGTTTGTTCATAGCCTCCGTAATATGGTTTCTTCTGTATCCTCTCTTTCAAAGAGTCTCCTCTAGCTCCCAGAATCCCTTTGCACAGTTACCAACATTACAGCAAATGCAATTGGCACGAACTAATACATCGTAAGCTAGTTTTATGCCCGCTAGGGATTAGATTGTCGGGAGTAGATTCGCATATATATATATATATATATATATATATATATATATATATATATATATATACATACGGCGTATAGATCCAAAAATCTAAAATCTATAAATTATTTGATCGTCAGATATATGAATGCTTAAGGACAACACCACAACTACATTTGCCATAAATAAAAATATATCTACAATCAGAAGTTCTTTTGTTAGAAATCAATGTTTGGTATAAACATGCAAATCCAGATAGACAATTTTTCCATGGCGCGCACATACGGAAACGAGAAAGAGAGAATAGTGTGGTATGATCTGAATTAAGTTAGATAATATTAAACCAATGTAAACATCTTCAATGTGCCTCTCTGGATCATGAGGGACATTCAACAAAGATTGGTCTTTACGGAGCATAAGAGAAACTTAATATTGGTGGATCTCTTTGGGCCATAAGGGGAACTTATCATAACTTGAGCATCTAGAGGACATGATGAAAATTTATATCAGATGGAGTTTATGATGCATAACTGGAATTTTACATTGGTTGATCTGTATGGCCGCATTGAGAAATTACCATTACACCAAGTGGCTACTATGACGATAGTGGGGATTGAACCTGAAGTCTCCATTTATTATGATTGTTAGGCACAAAGGTAAATTTAGTGTTAAAATGTTGATAGGTTCAACATTACTGATTTATGCAGAGACAATAACGGAAATCGTATGTTTAAAATATATCCGTATGGTCGATGTGTTAGACTGGGGATAAGATGGAGTATGCAATATTAAAACTACTCTCTCCAACACGCTATTTGAAGATGCCCACTTATCTCATAATCAACGATTAGCAGTGTTCATAAATAGACAAACATACCTCAAGAAACACACACTAAATGAAAAAGAAAGAAGAATAGGTGAACTTACACACATATACAAAAATAGCATGATACATTCATTGAATAGAATGTGAACTAGAATAAGCGCACATTTGAGCACAGGTGATACCATACTATTACAATCAAAAGTATGTTAAAACATATCCGACAATGACAGTAATGCTGCATGTATTGAGTGCGAGTCTAGAGTTCTCGATGTTGTTTTTCGTTTTTATCGTCTTAGATTTATATCTCTCACGAGACTGTTATCAAATATCACTTAATCAACACTAAAAGAAAATTTTGTAGCAACAATCGGCAGCGTCAATTAAGGTGGATTCTCTTATTCAGTTTGTTACAAATTTACGTTTTGTCACTCTAGATTTAATACAATTTCTGACTTAGCACAGCTAATGTCAGTTCATTTTGTTTTCTTTTGTTTCATCTTAGAGTCAATACCTTGAGCGAAATATTTCCTATTCGATTTGATATGACAGTTAGTTTGCTATGTTGTCAGGCTAGGTCAGAAGTAACTGTAAGCAATTTCTGTTTATGCTTGCAAACGGCGAAAATTAAAGTTTAGTTGTATTGTTCACCGTACATTATGTGTCTGTGCTTGTTAAGTAAAGAATGGTTTCGTTCCTTAGAAAAGCAAAGCAACTTTCGTCCTCTGACAAGAACATCTATGTAACCCTAAGAATGAAGGAAAGTAAATAAGAATAGGAATGTACCCAGACCCACATGGAATCATATACAGAGTGAGGTGAAAATGAAAAGGGTAGGAATAATTGCATATAAACAAAGTCTGCTTGTATACTGTCATACATAGAGTAAATAGAGAAAAAGAAAATGGTATGAATATACACACACGTTAGTGATATGCATACAGGCCCCATCTGAAACGGAAACAGTAGAGCATATGGCCGGGGCCTAAACTTCTAAGGGGCCTGTATTTCTATATACAATGTGATAAAAATAAACATACTTCATTCTGTATTTAGTCGTCTGTTAACGTTTCATATAGAAATTATACGGGCTTGTTTAGGCATTCGATTTCTTTTCAAATTTCCGTGTATCTATTAGCTATGGGCCTCAAACTCTCAGAAGATAAATGAAACTAACATAACATAACTAACTAAAATTGCAAACACTGGTTACGAGTTACTTATTGTTTAATCTAATTCTCATAAGCCATAGAAACTCGATGATTACACAATATATAATACAATATGTTTTATAGTTTCAAACAGAATACGCAACCGCTCCGGTGGCCTAGTGGTTAGAGCGTCCGCCTCGGATGCGGAAGGTCGTATGTTCGTTCCCGGGTCGAGTCATACCAAAAACTTACAAAAATGGTACTAATAGCTGCCTCAATTGACACTCAGCATTAAGAGGTTAGTGTTAGGACTGGTAGGCCTTGTGTTAGGATAATATGACTGGGTGGGACTTCATGCTAAATGTTTGCGGCATGATGCCCCAGTGCTTGACATGACTATAAACTGCCACACTGCAACACGCATCCAATTAGATTTAGAAGATGACGATAGGTTCGTTTTAAACATTATATATGTTATGCCGTTCGGTCATCTCAGACAACACTAAAGTGGAAAGTCATTTAGCCTAGAAATTTGATAGAATGCGAATAGGCATCAGAGTGACGATGGATACCACAATTACAATAAATAACAATATCCCAGTCAGCTTATCTTTTAGCCATGCTGAGGTTGTTTATGGAGGAAAAAGTGTTTCTTGCTCTTCAAAGTGAATCGAGATAATCGATAATAGATAAAAGAACTGCCTCAGACTGTATAATACACCTTACCATACTCAGCCAGGAACAGTATAATATACTTTACCATACACAGCCATGGTCATTATAACAAACCTTTCCAAATTCAGCCATGGTTATTCGATATTTAAATCAAACTATACTGACGATGGTTATTCAAAAGCGACTCAAAAATAATGCATACAGTTCTAAATCTAGAAATTGTGCTATTTTCCTGTAGCCAGGATGATGTATATATATATATATATATATATATATATATATATATATATATATATATATATATATATATATATATAAGTACTGTAATATTAGAATAAGTTACAGACAAATGCTAAAGCCAAAAAGTTTGTTAATATTAAAATCTATTTAAAGGCATTAACGAAACTTTTCAATATTTTTAAAGGTATTAGTGAAACTTTTCGACAGTGAACATATTTCGTAATATCTTTCTCAAATATATAATGTTTGAAAAGAGAAAATCTATCTCAAATATATAATGTTTGAAAAGAGAAAATTTAGTTTTTAAATTTAATAAATTGATTATTTATATAAGCATGATATTTATTTAAATACTTTTCAAATCTTTTTAACAACAATATTTCGTAGTAATACAATAAAACTTCTACTGGATGAAATCCACTGATAGAATTGTAATGAATGATTTCCACTTTAAAAGGTATGTTTTACTTTTTGCAAAGTGGCTGAATGGCGTTCCATTCATCACACTTACGATGAAATACTCAATAGCTTTTGAGAATAGTATGTGAAGTGCAGCATGGAAGGACAGTAGAGATTCATGCGGTACATTCGAAATAAAACTCAAGTTTTGTAGTTCTACCACTTTTACTTATGCAAAATGACTATACTGCAGGGATGATTGAACCGTGTTTGACCCAAACTGTCCCATTTCATGATATTGTCTTTTATGGATAGAAAACACTTTGCAGCAATAAATATGTCGCTAATCAAGTGCACATGAAAGTTTAGAATACTACAAATGATTAATAAATTTAGTAGGCAATGCAACTAATGTATCAAATATTTCTACTTTTGTCCGCATATTCAAATTACTTAATGGCTGATCAGTTTCTTGTACTGCTTCGGAAACTGAGTGGATGTCTGACTTCAATAACAAAATTAATAGTATAGCCACTCAAAGTAAACTGTAGCTTCACGAATATTTGCAAACATTTTTGACATTTGTATATGTTATTATTTAGGGAATAAGAAGATAATTTGTACAAATCATCAGTATGTTGATGCCTGTCTCGTCCTATTACAATATCATCCTTTATACACAAAAACATTCGATATAATCCACAGAGGATACTTAAACACAGTTACTAAAAGCAATAGCGGGTTTCCAAAAGGTGTTAGAGTCCATCAGCCTGAGATTAAGTAAATTGTGTGGTGCATCACTTATGACCAATTCTGTTCTTTATGCGTCATAATGGATTTATTCGTCCGTTAAATGCTTTCATCTTTTAAGCTACTTCTCAAAATCACAGCATCACTGCATATTTTCTTGTCACTACTTAAGTACACACACAGAAAGGAATAATGGTGTGTATAATCTGCAAAGAAACCAACATGAAGGACATATTTTGAATTAATTAAAGTTTATATGCTGGACTGTTTTCATCTTTATAGAATATAGTGAAGGAAGTCAAGCTCGTGTACTTGTTAAATCCAAAAGCCTATCCCTATGAAATGTTTAATCTATATAGCCACATGATTAATATTAACATTTAGAGTTCTATTGTAAATAATTATTCACTCTATACAAAAACAATTTTGCAGTGCTTCTATTAATTTGTTTCCTTCAGTTGGAAGACAAAAGTAGAATGCGATAGAAACCGGTATTATGTGTGTAGCAAGGTAAATTATTAAACGCACACATTAAACAGTTTAAAGAAACTTATTGGCACTTGTATGTGGTAAATTATTAAACGCACACATTAAACAGTTTAAATAAACTTATTGGCACTTGTAGGTGGGATGGAACATGATATATATATATATATATATATATATATATATATATATATATATATATATATATATATATATATATATATATATATATATATATGCAATAAACTGACGATGAACAGTGCGAAACTAGCAAACTAGTTTCGCACTGTGCGTCGTCAGTTTATTGCATCTATTTTAATCAATCCCTGACACACGTGATCCCTTGGTGGATCCAGTGCGTTTGAAAGGGTCGTTATTCGCCATATGATTTGTATTCTTTATATATATATATATATATATATATATATATATATATATATATATATATATATATATATATATATATATATATATCTATATCTATATCTATATATATATATATATATATATATATACACATATATATATATCTATATATATATCTATATATATATATATATATATATATATATATATATATATATATATATATATCTATATATCTATATATATATATATATATATATATATATATATATAACAGACCAGGTATTAGACTTCACCCAATCCTGATAGCAATGGTGCTCTTGAAACAAATCCACCTTTTTGCTGTCATGTGTTTTTTCCGTCGCTCTCTTTTTTCGCACCGTTTCTGGTTTTGGCATAATATTTAATCTTTGGACAAAACATTGAAATCGATATTCATAAAAAAGTCCTTATACCGCTGCCGCGGACAATACCATTACCTTTGACGGCCTTTTTAGTTGCACTAGATACTGCTCCTGACGCTGCTGCTAATCCTATTGTACCTATCTCTGACACAATTATAGGTAGTAATGTTTTGGCTATTACAGATAGTGCATGACCAATGAAACCGCATTGGTTTGACATCTGAGTTATTTGTGCATCACTTATATGTGAAACTGATCATGTTTTGAGATCGTATTTATTTACTGGACTTTTGGTTATCAACAATTTTGTTAAAGTACCTTTGATTTTAGGGTTGACCGTTGATGGATCCTGTTGCTAATTTTTTTAATTGGCCATCGGTTAAATATATTTCTTTTGCAATATATTTTATAATTGTTTGCATATTAAATTTACAGATCAAACTTGAACTTCTTAGAACTTTGAGTAAATTGCAAATTACTATACACTTGTATTGACATTTTCCCTCCAAATGTCAACTGTAACAAATCTGTCACTAATCACTAACGCATATACGTATAACGGATGTGCTGGAGGCCTTCCTAGCATCCAAGTAACTTCATTATCAGCTATGTTGTCTATAGCTCGCTTGCTATATTTACTAACATAAAGGTAAAATATTGGATAAAGTGTACTAAATTTCTCTAATGATATATGAGATCCATCTCCAGCATCTTGACATTGTTGCATTGAATCTAGTAAATACATGTAAGGTCTAGTAATGTTCTTATTAGCGTCATCTACGAAAGTGCATTCGATCGATTGCTCTGGATATTGTTTTGAATGTATTCTAGCATATATTCGTTTAACATTAACGTTATCAAATATTCCATTATTTTATTCATGAGTGCCACGTTGAGCTTGTTGCTGAAATACAACAAATAATTGACCCTGTAGTTGCTCACCTGATGTTGCTGTGATTCTCAATGTGTTGTCTGTGGCATTCGAGTTGCTGTTTGATATTTTATGTTGCTGAAAATAAATTATATTAGTATGGTTTTGCAGCATATCATTTAATTTCACCATTAAAGTGATTACCAAAGCGCATGTTTGTTTATGACAAAATTGTACATCAACCCCAACCAATCTGAGCAAACAATCATTTTGTTCTGCTCAATCTAAAATAAGTGTAGACTGAATTCCACGAAATACTTTACTATAGTTCCTGCGCAAACCATATATTTTACATAGTGGCACCATTATTGTAATTTGACGTGATCCTGCTGCAAGTGCCTTTCTTTTAGGAAAACATTCATTGTAACGTGTCATTAATTAAATCTAACATTACGAAAGCGGTTGCAGCTGCCCATGGTGCGGTTATACCAAGATTATTGCAAGCAAGAGTAAGCGAGACTATTACAGCGTCTACACTAGCGTCTGCGGCTGGTGTGGTTATACCTAGCGCTGCCGTATTAACAAAAAGAAAAGCTATTATATTTATAAGACGTTGCTGTGGGATGGAACATTATATATATATATATATATATATATATATATATATATATATATATATATATATATATATATATATATATATATATAATATTATAAATTTGAATAAACTCACCAGATTATGCTATGCCAAGTCCGGTATCTTTAAATCTTCTCATATTATTTGCAGTAAATCTTTTGTAATAATAGGAAAACAAAATAGTAGTTTTGATTGTACTTCCAACTTGCAAGCGATTTGAAATACCTTCAACAGTTTGATTGGGGAACTGATATCGAGCACATCTAAAACATCAACCATTATTTTTAAGAGCTACTTCTGTTCCAGCTGCAATTGATTTACTCCTGTCATAATCTGACCACGAAATTCAACGATAGCTGTATGAGGCAGTATAAATGCATCCTCGTCTCTAGTATTAAAAAATTCTTAAACTAGC